GGTGGGGGGGGTGTCATCTTGCTGCGATTTTAAATTTCCAGCTGTGATGGAGAACAGCGGGCGCCAGGAGTCGGCAGCACTGGGGTTGCAGGCAAGCCCTGATGGCGAAGCCTCCCAAAGGCGTTCACGCTAATGGGGCTCCTGGTGTGGGCTGTAATAACCCCATTAGCATTTAATGAACTCCTTACCTGGAGGGATCCTTGTGTGTGCCGGAGGATTAACCCTCTTCTCACCAAGGGGTCAAATCTGCTCCAAAAGCGCCTTTCGCAGGTGCGCAGGCACACAAAGAGCATCTCCCATGTAGGGAGAAATCGCAGCCGTTGATGCCCCGTCCACCCCCTTCCCTCCCAGCTGAGCTTTCCTCCCCAGAGACAAAGGGAAAAAAAAAAATCAGTTGCTTGGCTCTCACTTGGTTTTTCTCCCTGAATCGCTCTACGTGACCATCGCATGGTGGTGGCCATGCAGGATGAGGCCATACCTCCTGTGAGCAGCCCATCATACACCCACCCGGGGGGACAACAGCAGCATAGGAGCCCCTGGGGGGGGTCATCCAGCCCCTCAGGATGCCGAAACCACAGCTCTCCGCTGCAAATTTCCTTCTGTATTTTTTTTCCCCTCCTTGCTTTAACCGAATGAGTTCATTCTGAGAGCAAACCGGCGCATGGTCTCGTCCCTGCAGGGCACAGTGTCGACCCAGGCTCGGCAGGGCTGCTGGGGCGCCGGGGACCCCGCTCCAAGCAGCCTTTCATGGTGACGTTTTTCCGCGCGAGCCCCAGCCCCGCGCGCGTTACACGGGCGGCCAAGCCCCCGAGGAGGCGGCAGCCCAAGAAGACGAACGACCTCCCGCATCCGAACAAGCTGCCGGGAATTTTTGGTAAGAAGCTGCGGGGCAAGAAGCGGTCCCTATCAAAAAAAAGAAAAAAAAACCCAGGCTCTGCTATTGCCACAATCAAGGGACCTTTTGTTAGTACCTTGTCTTGCAAGAAATCCCAATTTTGCCCCAGAAATGCAGCCCAGGGGAGCAGAGCGAAGAGCTCTGGGTTTTTAGGATTGGGGTTGTTTGCAGTTCAGGGGGTGCAGTGGGTCTGGGGTGGGCGCCCTCATGGGAATGGTGTTTTGTGGGGTTTTCAGGATGCTGAAATACGGAATATTGGACTTTTTTGCATCATTGCTCTTGGTTTTGAAGCCACCCAGGGAGGGGAAGCCACCCAGGGAGGGCATCCCCCCGGGAGGGTGTCAGGGCCCCGGGAGGGTGTCACGGCCCTGGAAAGCCGCTCAGGCAGGAGGGGAGCGAGAAGCCCCAGCTCTCCCGAACTCATTTAGCTTGGGAAACCCTCGAAGCCAACTCCGCCATGAGCAGAGCTGGGATTTAGCCCTTCCCAGGCTGGATCCCCTCGTCCCGATGTTGGAGCAATAAATTTCAGGCTGGTCTGAAGCTTCTTTTCCCTTTGTACAACCATGGAGGCTCCTCTTCTTTTGTTCTTCTGGACTAACCCCGATCGTACGGGCGGTTCAATCCCACCCTTGAGCGGGGAGGGCTGCAGCCGGGGGGTGGGGGGGATGCCGGCACCGCAGGGCTGACGCTGCCTGTCCCCTTCTCCCGCAGATGATGTCCACGCCGCGGACGGGCGGCAGGTCTGCCGGCGCCACGAGCTCTACGTCAGCTTTCAGGACCTCGGCTGGCTGGTACTTGTCTACCGGGATAAGTAAATGTAAAAAAAAAACCCATCGTCCTCCCCTCGGGCTCCCTCCCAGCCCGGCTTCTCCTGCCCATGAAGCGATCTGCAGCCCTGTGAGCAGTGCAGGGCCGCCGGGAGCTGCCGCAGCCCCATCCCAGGAGCTGGGAAGGCAAACATGAACTGCCATAACCCCACCAGTGACCCCAAACAACTCATGGCTCAATCCGAAAAATCAAAATAAACCCTTGCTGCTGGCACGGCCATGCAGGAAGAAGCCGGCTGGGCTGTTTTTGCAGGTGGGGAATGGATGAAGGGGCACAGAAAGGGTGAAGCCCACGGTGTAACCCCTTTTTTTTTCCACAGGACTGGGTGATCGCCCCGCAGGGTTACTCAGCCTACTACTGTGAGGGGGAGTGTGCCTTCCCCCTGGACTCCTGCATGAATGCCACCAACCACGCCATCCTGCAGTCCCTGGTCAGTGCAACGCGCAGCGGCAGCCCCGGGGGGGGATGCTGGGGGCCTCAGGTTGTGGTCGGAGCCCGGCAGGTCCCGATGGATTTGGGGCTGGGCACAGCTGGGTTTGAGAGTATTTAGGTCGGAGGGTGCAGTTTAGCTCCAGCTCCCAATAAAGCCTGGGTGGGTGCGTGCACATCTGGGGGGGTGCTCCCCTGTCAGCTGGTGGGCAAGGGCATCGTGTCGCCCGTGCATCCTCCTCGCCAGCCGTGGGCGAGGGTTTCACCCGAGGTCCCACGAAGCACCGCTGTGGCTCAGCGCCCAAACGTTGGGCTCAGCATATTCTAAGCAGGAAGGCTTTTTTTTTTCCTTTTTCCCCACACCCGCCCCCCCCCCCAGCCGGTGCTTTAATTTCTGGAATTTCCTGCCCTGTGAGTGTTTGATTTCCCAATGGCAGAGTCACACCGGCTCCGGGGTTCGCGGTTAATTACAGGGAGCGCCGAGTCCTCGGCCGAGCCTTTGAAGGTGTTGCCTGGCGGGGTTTAATTTTTGCATTGACAAAGCTGCCAGTCTGGGGCTGGGCACAATCCTGGCAGCGGTGGGGAGGGGTCCCCTTCCCCCCTACACCCACCCATCATCCCTAAACCCAACACTCTTCCCGAAACGGAGCCGTTTGGGCAGGATGTGAATCACCTGGCACCCGGATCCGGCCCCTTCTGGGAAGCGCCGGGGCAAACGCGGCCGGGGAGCCGTGCCAGCCCAGCCGGTGCTGCAAATAGCAGGGTTTGACAGCAAAAACACCGGACTTCCGAACTAAGAGAGCTGGG